TTTTGCGGTACGCAGGCCTCTCACTGTTGTGGCCTCTCCCGTTGTGGAGCATAGGCTCCGGACGCGCAGGCTCAGCAGCCATGGCTTACGGGCCCAGCTGCTCCGCGGCATGTGGGATCTTCCTGGACCGGGACACGAACCCGTGTCCCCTGCATCGGCAGGCGGACTCTCAACCACTGTGCCACCAGGGAAGCCCTAGCTTTGTTTCTTTGAGCATGCTCTTTCTTCCAGTTTCTTATATTATGTCTACTTTGAGAAGTTTTCCTACCCTTTAGTGTTCAGTTCTATTTAATCTCTAATTTTCTTCTTCCTTAAATCCTTTTTTGATTTTTACCTTTTCACTCCCAAGTCAAATTTAATCCATCCTTTCTCTGACCCACCATCACAGTTGATTCCTGATTTGTAACAGTTACATTATGAATATTATGTTTTTGTTATTCTCATATATTGTAAACTCTTTCAGGGCAATCTGTTGGTACCTAACGTAATGCCTTGCTTGTAGAAGCTGATTACCAGAAAACAACTTCAGTTGCAAATTTCCTGTCAGTGAGAATAGAAATAATAATCCATGCTTTTGTATGGTCTTTTACATTTTGTAGAGTATTTTCATACACACTTTATAAGTCAATGACATTTTGATTAGGAAAATACAAGTCACTCAATTCCAAGCATCGAGGTTTTAAGATGGGGAATTAAAGGCTTATGTAACCTTTGGAGGGGCTCAGGGAATTAGGGAAGCTGTTACTGATTATTTTAGCCTAAGCGTGGAAGCTGCTTCTTTGCTTAGAAGTCACTGTAAATCTTAAGAACTCTGCGTTTGTAGTACCAAAGTGTGTGGTTCTCAAGAAACTACTTACCAGGAAGCTGCTTCTCTACCCAAGTATCTACCTATTACTTCCTCCAGAGGGAATCTGGAGATGTTAATTTCTTCTCTTTTGCAGTGCAAGGAAGACTTTAAAAGGAATGGCAGTGGACATCTAGTCAGCAACAAATTATCCAGCACACATGCATTTTACTAAATGTTTTGAGTTTTGTAACTGTCAGGCTGTCATGCAGGGTAATACCTTCATTTTGTATATGAGGAAGCAAGTTCAGAGGTTTATTCAAAACAGCAACTTCTCAGCCTCTTGCATTGACACTTCTGCATTTAACTGCAATAACTAAATAATCTGGAGACACTGAAAAGTCCTAAATATTGAGAAAGTACTTTATCCATGTTTTATACACAACATTATTTTGGTAATGTAGTTTAGGAATTTATTCTTCAAAATGTTTAAGCTAAATGAGTTTCTAGGTTAATCTTGGTTTAAGAAGAAAATTGAACAACTCATTCTTTGAACAGTTCAGTTAATTATAATTTAAATAAAGAAGCTGTAAGTACATTCGTTCCTTAATATGTGCAGGGGATTGATTCCAGGACCTGCTGCAGGTATCAAAATCTGAGGATTCTCAGGTCCCACGGTTGGCCTTCCGTATCCACGGTTCTGCATCTACATATCCAATCAACTGTGGATTGTGTAGTATTGTAGTATTTTCTTTAAAGTTTTTATTTATTTATTTTTGACTGTGTTGGGTCTTCGTTATTGTGCGTGGTCTTTCTCTAGTTGCGGAGAGTGGGGGCTACTCTTCATGCGGTTTGTGGGTTTCTTTTTGCTGTGGCTTCTCTTGTTGCAGAGCATGGGCTCTAGGCACATGGGCTTCAGTAGTTGTGGCTTGCATGCTCAGTAGTTGTCGCTTGCACGGTCTAGAGCGCAGGCTCAATAGTTGTGGCGCACGGGCTTATTTGCTCCATGGCATGTGGGATCTTCCCGGACCAGTGCTCGAACCAATGTCTCCTGCATTGGCAGGCGGATTCTTAACACTGCACCACCAGGGACGTCCCTATTTTTCAGTTTTTATTTTACATTGGAGTATACTTCTATTTATTTTATTTTTTTGTTTTTTAATTTTATTTTTGGCTGCATTGGGTCTTCATTGTTGTGAGTGGGCTTTCTCTAGTTGTGGCGAGCGGGGAATACTCTTCGTTGCTGTGCGTGGGCTTCTCACTGTGGTGGCTTTTGTTGCAGAGCATGGGCTCTAGGTGTGTGGGCTTCAGTAGTTGTGTCACATGGGCTCAGTAGTTGTGGCTCACGGGCTGTAGAGCACAGGCTCAGTAGTTGTAGCACATGGGCTTAGTTGCTCCGTGGCATGTAGGATATTCCTGGACCAGGGCTCGAACCCGTGCCCCCTGCATTGGCAGGTGGATTCTTTTCTTTAAAATTTTATTTATTTATTTATGGCTGTGTTGGGTCTTCATTTCTATGCGAGGGCTTTCTCTTGTTGAGGCAAGCAGGGGCCACTCTTCATCGCGGTGCATGGGCCTCTCACTATCGCAGCCTCTCTTGTGGAGCACAGGCTCCAGATGTGCAGGCTCAGTAATTGTGGCTCATGGGCGTAGTTGCTCCGCAGCATGTGGAATCTTCCCAAACCAGGGCTTGAACCCATGTCGTCTGCATTGGCAGGCAGATTCTCAACCACTGCGCCACCAGGGAAGCCCGGCAGGTGGATTCTTAACCACTGCTCCACCAGGGAGGCCCTTGGAGTATAGTTGATGGACAACGTTGTGTTAGTTTCAGGTGTACAGCAAAGTGATTCAGTTATACGTATACATGTATCTGTTCTTTCTCAAATTCTTTTCCCATTTAGGTTGTTATATAATATCGAGCAGAGTTTCCTGTGCTATACAGTAGGTCCTTGTTGGTTATCCATTTTAAATATAGCAGTGTGTACATGTCAATCCCAAACTTCCTAACTATCCCTTCCCCCCACCTTTTCCCTGGTTCAGTACTGCAGTATTTACTGAAAAAAAATCCACGTATAAATGGACCCTCACAGTTCAAACCCATGTTGTTCAAGGGTTAACTGTAGTGAGTTTTTCAAAGAAAAAGTGCTATGTGATTCTAAATTTACAGGTACATTGTTAATGATCTCAGTGCTTTTTAATAGAAAAGAGTGATTTCAGTCATGCAAAGTCAAATACTTTCACAAAACTTTGTTGTTACATGTCTAAAAAACAAGATGAAGCATGTTTTGAGGGATGGCAGAAGGAGGGAAATCAAATGTGTGAAGTTGCTGCAAGTTCTGTGGATAAGTTGTAGAGTAATTTGATGATTATGCTTTTTACTATAGTTTCTGTATTCTTCTTGAAGTACTCAAGTTGTGACATGTATCCTGTCACTTCCTTTTACAACAGTAAGAAACCTACTGTTATTCACAGTATATTTACTTATTTCCTCAATTCTAGGATGCACAGAAAGTAGTTACAAAATTGCTGATATGTACCACTTTGAAAAACAAAGTTCTAGAGTCAGATATTTTTTATGGTTCTTTTTATCTTTACTCTGGGGTATTTGGTTCTCCTCTCCACTTTATTATGGTTAGTTTTTTTGAAGGTTAGGTTCATTTGTTTCTGTTTATATTTCATTTTAAGTTTTTTTATCGCCTAAGTTTTAAAATTGTATTTACTTTTTGGTCCCCCCGCCTTTATTTTAGTATGTGAAACGTTAACATGGTTCCAAA